ACAGTAGTAACTGGAATATTTTGGTAGTAACACAGTAGTAACTGGACTATTTGTGCAAGCTTTGTAGTGCAAATTAGTACTGGGAAGTGGGTTTGTGCAAGCTTTGTATGCAGTGTACTGGGAAGTAGATTGGTGCAGCTTTGTCAGTACACGTATAACTGGGAAAGTATTTTGTCAGTACACCTTATATACTGGGAAGTAGTTTGTGCAAGCTTTGTAGTGCAAAGTAGTACTGGGAAGTAGTTTGTGCAAGCTTTGTAGTACACAGTAGTACTGGGAAGTAGTTTGTGCAAGCCATGTAGTGCAAAGTAGTACTGGGAAGTAGTTTGTGCAAGCTTTGTAGTACACAGTAGTACTGGGAAGTAGTTTGTGCAAGCTATGTAGTACAAAGTAGTACTGGGAAGTAGTTTGTGCAAGCTTTGTAGTACACAGTAGTACTGGGAAGTAGTTTGTGCAAGCTTTGTAGTACAAAGTAGTACTGGGAAGTGCTTTGTCAAGCTTTGTAGTACACAGTAGTACTGGGAAGTGCTTTGTGCAAGCTTTGTAGTACACAGTAGTACTGGGAAGTGCTTTGTGCAAGCTTTGTAGTACACAGTAGTACTGGGAAGTGGTTTGTGCAAGCTTTGTAGTACACAGTAGTGCTGGGAAGTGCCTTGTGCAAGCTTTGTAGTACACAGTAGTACTGGGAAGTGCTTTGTGCCAGCTTTGTAGTACACAGTAGTACTGGGAAGTGGTTTGTGCAAGCTTTGTAGTACACAGTAGTACTGGGAAGTAGTACTGGGAAGTAGTAGCTCTGCACGTGTTGAACTTCAGTGGTTTCAGAGCGGTTTCAGAGTGGTTTCAGACCTCTTCGGGGGGTCTAGCTGACCTTGATGAAAAGAACAACTTACAGACAGAAAAGACTTGAACACAACATACAAGGAAATGCTAGGGAAACAAAAGGAACATGACAAGAACGGAGACATGTCGCATTCATACCTTCGCATTGTTTGCAAAGATATGATGTGGTAGGCACAATATCTTCGGACCAGTTGGAAGGCACAAGAATGAGAAATTTCTCTAATCTTGAAGAAAATCCCAAATCTCCAACATTCATATGAACCGTGCTGTGACGTTGAGATAATGTTCTTTTGACATGTTCTTTGACTGTCCCACGTTTCCGGACTCAATCCGGACTCCACAACCAGAATGCAGGATTCATCTCCTTTTCGTTACCATTCCTCCTCTGATCTCTCTTGTCCAGAGATAATGTTCTTTGACATGTTCTTTGACTGTCTCACGTTTCCGGACTCAATCCGGACTCCACAACCAGAATGCAGGATTCATCTCCTTTTCGTTACCATTCCTCCTCTGATCTCTCTTGTCCAGAGATAATGTTCTTTTGACATGTTCTTTGACTGTCTCACGTTTCCGGACTCAATCCGGACTCCACAACCAGAATGCAGGATTCATCTCCTTTCGTTACCATTCCTCCT